TTGAACCTATCCAAGAGTGCAGCGGAATTTCAAGTTTCACTACTAAAGCAATGCAACTCGCTCGAAAATGACGTAAAAATGACTGATCAAAGAGCGATCAAAAGTTTTTCATGTTTTTCATGAATTGGAGACAAATTCTGTATTATTGAAAGAGAACTGTGACAGCGTGAAAGTAATACTAGAAAAATTGAATTAGATAGAATGCCAGTGGACAGTGATCTGTGATTTAAAAATGAAAACATGGAGAACGATTTCACCAAGATGTGGTGGACTTTGAAGGGGCAGTACAACGAGGATATGATGGGGGATTACATTTGGGATTTAATCCGAGATAGCCCATACGAACTTAAACGGAATTCGATAAATATTCATTTTTAGATACTTATTTCTATTATTTGTTACAAATTTTGAATAAAAAAGAGCTATATTGGAAAAGAAACGTTCTTTACCATAACTTAATTATCACAGATATTGCAACAATGATAAACTAATAAAAAAACAAAAAATCACTTCAACCTCAGTTCTGTCTTAAGGCAATTTTCGAATTAATCTATAACCTGTGGAGTTTAAAATGTCAAGTGCGGGCTAGTGAAAATAGGGAATTAAATGGAAAGATCGTGTTATTTAGTCCATATCAACGTCGGGTGTGGACACAAATTAATTAAGTCAAATTAGTCCTTAAAATAGAAGTAGGGTTACAAAATTTTCCATATAGCCAAAAATTGCTGTGAAAGTTAAGAATGTAAATGAATTGGGAAAAGGTCCCGTTAAATTTTATTGATGGTCTTTTTCAGTTGTCTTTGTAAGTAGACTGATTAAAGTTCCATTGTTCCTTGTCACTCAAGTAAGAATAACCCAATAACAATAGGTAATAACATCGTTGAAGTTTTATTAGGGAGGGTCCTTTGAAAGCCAACACGATGAAGATTGAGAGAGACTATTCTTCATTTTTGCTCACTCTTTATTAATTTACATTGAAAACATCCAAAATTATGTAATTAAGAAAAGTTGTTAATTATTTTAGGGCCTGCTGAATAAATAAATGATATACAGGGGATGGCGTTTAAACTAATCCAGACGTCACCACGTTTATGTAGAAGCGACAACACCGCATACTTGGAAATTCTGTATGTATGTCTGCGTGTATGCCTGTCTGGATGTCTATATATTATTTCGAACAGCCTGTACATGCTTGCTAGGTGTTGCGGATAGCTTCCGCGCGCCAATTAAAACTTGCCCGAGATTATTTAGTATCCACGCAATTTAAAGGGTTATTCTGTCATATCTGCAGCGGAATTAAGATTTAATGGCGACGCCCGCCAACTTGCTGGAACGCTTAATTTACTTGTCTAAAGTCGTTAAGTTATAATTGTGCGGGCGCTGACGGTGATCTAGGTCATGCCCGGGAGGGGGGAACAAGGGAAATTTGGCAACGTCGGCCGTTTTTCCGCCGGCCACTTGTTGGCATGCAGTCAATTTCGGTGTTTAACTCTGTCTGCAGTATAAAGATTGCGATAATTGGGAGGGTCTTAAAGAATTTTTTCAGACACTAATTCTGTAGTAGCGATCTGTTACCACATGCGTTGTCTTGTGTTGACATATAAGAAACACCTCATTAATAGCATACCTAATCTCTTGCCGGGCTTTACAGGTATTTGAAGAAATCGAAATATTCAACATATTAAAACTACCCAAGCTGTAGCGGTGGATCTCTCCCCCTATATTACCGCACATCACACATCCAATAAATTTTTTATTTTTCCTGAGTCTCAGTCATTCTTCTTCTTCTTCTTCTAGCTACGTCTATGGCTTACGGGGCCCTGAATAAATGTACATTCGTTATTCCTGTCCACTGTCTGATATTTTTCATCCCCTGACCTTTCGACCCTCTATTTTGCCCTGAAAGTTTAGTAGGATAAATTGATATTTCTCATTACGCATCACGTGACTAAGGTAAGCCATCTTCCTCACTTTCACATTATGTACGAGTTGCCTTTGTATTCGCGTCGTTTGTGACATGGTAGAAGTGTGATAGCACCACATTTCAAAGGTCTATAGGCGTATAGGGGCGTGGAGAATACGTAACATGTTTAGACCCGTGTTCTTATAGTAATATTCAGGTGCATGTTACACAGGACTTTGCTGATCCCATTCCTTGTTCAGAATTTTGGTCTCCTGAAATATTGGATATAGTAGTAATAGGGTTCAAGCAGTGACATACAACTCCAAATTATCCTCTTTTTGGTATCTTAATAAAGGCGTTCCACCGGGATCTATAATAGGTCCGACCCTTTTCTCTATATATTTCAAATTTTCGAGTCAAAGTCACTATTTTTGTGTGAGTCATTAGTGCCATCACAACTAAATTTGTGTGATGTTATATTTCATCCACGTTTGATTCACATTGATATTTTTTATATTCACAAATTACAAAACTGTTGTTTGAAGGTGATATTAGGTGTGAGAAAGTTATATACAGGTGAGAAAGTTATATACAGGGTGTTTCATTTGAAAAAATATGATGTAGGCTTATATGTCAGAAAATATATAGTGTTTTGTTTTATAAGTCACTTGGAAAAAAAAATTGGCTATTAACCCTACTTTTTTTTTGTTTATCTTGACATCCCTAAAAACAAAATAGTTACAGTCAATTAAGGCCCAGATAAATTGAACGCACGGTACATGCATCCTTTGCATAAAATTAAACACCTAATCTACGATGTTCTTGCCGGTTAAGTATCAATTTTCTTTTGGCTAATCGTAAATGATTTTCACTTTTAATTAATAGAGACAGATTTATAAATTTCGATTGGCATATTTGCTAGGCAACAATTTTGTCTGGTAAAACATTTCTCCCCAATGGATGGAAAGGCATTTGGATGGGATTTTCAACTGCACCGTAAAAGATTTTACACCCTCCCGTTACGACGTAACATGAGACAAATTTGATATAAAATATCGCGCAACCTTTACTTTATCGTCTAAAAGTGTCGCCGGCAGCGGGCCAGTCTTTGGAAAACATATCGCGGGTATACGAGTTCTTATTAATGGTCTCCTTATTTCCATAGAGTATAATGTTTCCTTTCCTTATGTCGCGGTAAAAATATTAATTATTTTTGAAATTTTTGATTTTTGTTGTCTGGTTTCAAACTTATAGATAGATCTAATCCGTAGGATTATTAGATGGAAAACGTCTTTTGAAATTTTAAAATTATACGGTTATTCTTCTATGTTTTATTGTTTCAGAGGCACAGGTTATATTTTCTCTTGCCACCATTGTAGTACTAAATAACTAACGTATGAGGTAAGTGACCAAAAACAGCTCCAAACAAATTTATAGCGTCGTCATCGGCCTTTGGGATTTTTTAAATTATTTTAAATATTGAAACTAACTCTTTTCAGGAATTACATTAGCGATCAAAAAGTATTTTCTTTTACAATGTTTATGAGACACTAAATCGATTTCAAGTATGGAAACTCCTGTTTTACTTTAAGTTTTACTCTTTAAGCTATAAAATGGTCGAAAGTAGACTATAAACAACGTAATAGTATCTTCATTTACAAGGGAGATCAAAAATTATTTTCTTGGACAAAGCCCTTGAGAATTTTTAACGAATCTAAAGTCTGGTTCTTTATCTATATAACAGTGATAAAAATCATTTTCTTGTACAAAATCTATGGGAATTTTGAACTATTTTTACTTTAAGTTTGGGACTTTAGGCTATAAAGTAGTACAAGTATGGCAATAAACAATGTAATAAAATCTTAATTTTTCAAAGAAACTGACACAGACTACTGTAATACTTTTTATAAAACTTCTGGATTCCTTTCGGGAAAATTTTTACTATTTGATATATCCACACTAAAGCCGAGCTCCTTTTTTAATTTAAATTCTAGTCCTTGAGCTATAAAATATTCAAAAGTAGTCAAATATGCCAATAAGCAATGTATTAGTATCTTCATTTATAATGGGGATTGAAAATTATTTTCTGTTAAAAAGCCTATGACACATTTCAACTATTTCAAGCACTGGAACTAAATTCTAGCCTTTTTTTCTCTAAGTTCGGACAAAGCCTATGACTAAACTGAACTAAACTAAAGTGTATCTCACTTTTAACTTTAAGTTTGAGTCTTTAAGTTGTTAAATAGTCAAAAGTCGTCAAACAGTGTCGTGTAATGGTGTCTTCATTGGATTCAATGCAGGTCCAAAATTATTTTCTTGGACAAAGCTTGTGAGAATTATGCTATTTGAAATACTGAAAATTAAACCAAACAATGTAATACTATCTTCATTTACAATGGGGATCAAAAATTTATTTTTTTTACAAAGCCAATGAGACGTTTAACCTATTTCAATTATTAGAACAAAAGTCTAGCTCTTGTTTTACTTTAAGTTCCACTCCTTAAGCAATAAAAATTCAAATGTTGTGGATTATGACAATAAATAATGTAATACTATCCTTATTTACAATGAAGATCAAAAATTAGTTTCTTTTACTATGCCTATGAGACATTTAAACTATTTCAAATATTGAAACGAAAGTTTTGCTGTTTTTTTGAGTTGAATCTGAGTCCTTAAGCAATAAAATAGTGAAAATTGCTCAAATATGACAATAAACAATATCTTCCTTTACAATGGGAATCAAAAATTGTTTTTTTTTATAAAGTCAATTTGACGTTTAATCTATTTCCATTATTAGAACCAAAGTTTAGCTCTTGTTTTACTTTAAGTTCCACTCCTTAAGCGATAAAAACTCAAATGTTGTCAATTATGACAATAAACAATGTAATGCTATATTTATTTACAATGAAGATCAAAAATTAGTTTTTTTAACTACTTTAAGTATTGAAAATAAAGTCTAGCTCTTGTTTTCGATTTCGAGTTTTCAGAAAATAGTCAAAAGTTTGTAAAAATGACAATGAACGATTCCTGTTCCTATTCCTATTAAGGTATTGAAACCCAAGACTAGTTCTTTCCTGGTACAAAAATCAATACTCACGAAATAATCAAAGGTCGTCTTAATCTCTGGCCCATGTCCATAGACCAAATTCTCTTCGCCGTGATGTCCACTATCGAATCCCAAGATGGCGGCCGACGTGCACGCGCAAAGGACAGATAGAGCTACAATCTGGAAGGGAAAAAATTTCGTAGGTGAGCCCACTCCCCCTAAGGGATCGCAAACGGCTTATCAATAACCAATTGCAATTAACGCATCCCCCGGAATAGAGTTTACCCCCCGATCCCTCCCACGCCCCTTTGACATCGCTATTAATTCCGAACGCTTGACGCTTAAATCTCCATCAATTCGAGTGCTTTGGATGTTTCCATCAGCGTATAGCGGATTTGTGTTCGATCATTCAAACCGTAGAGGTCCAAATGGGCCCCCTTTGAGGTTAGATCTCGTCCCGAACTGCGAATAAATAGGAACTAGAAGCTAGGGATTTTAGTTTAATAAAGAATTTTTTTTACTTAGGTCGCAATTTCAGCAAAATATGTATGCTAAATTAGGGGCACATTTGTTTGCACGCAATATGGATGAATTATGATGAATCGAAAGATGGAAAGAACAGGCCAAATGTCTCATACAAGAAGAAGCAGAAAGTTTCTATAACCTAACATTTATAAGCAGTAACTAGTACAAGTGCTAATAACTCGAAAGTATTTGCGAATATAGCTTATAAACAGAACTTTCATAAATATATTAGCATTAATAGATGGAAGTAAGTTGATTTATAGTATTTTTTTAAATATTAGTTACTTTCTGCACCAGAACATTTACTACTTACATTACACCCCCATCCATTTAAAAAATATGAAAAAATGGACCTATCTCTCATAAATTAGGGTTATTTTGGAAAAATTCTTACTTGTTTTTCAAAAATTATTTTTGCTTCTCCTATATTATGACGTAATTTGAAAATAACATTTTTGGAATCACTTTTTTTTTAAACACCTTGTGCAATCTAGGGAGGTAGAATGTAATCAATGCAATGCAACGATGATAAATGTCACTTTATTATTTTATTTATTGTTGTGCTGAAATTTGTTGAAGCGTCAAATACCGAGTCAGTTTTGGTTAGTTGACTTGGGTCTGAAAATTTTGACTTATTTATTAAAAATTATTACTTGTTTTTCAAAAATTATGATAAGTTGTAAATTGTCAAAAATTTCCATTATTTTATTTCTTCATGCCTATCTAATAATTAAAAAAAAACATTTTTGGTTAGTTAGTTAACTTTTTTTTTGAAACACCCATTAGAATTTTGGATGGTGGAAGGTTGTCTGCCATAAGAATAAGATTGTTAAAGAAAGCAATCAAAATTATGATACGTTTTACTTTACTACTTACATACCGCGTTATTTTTTTGAATAAAAAAAAAATATGTCTGTAATTTTTTTGATGTGAATAAGTCAAAAACCGAGTCAGTTTTGTTTAGTCGGCTTGAGTCCAAAATTGTGACTTATGTTGTAAAAATTCTTACTTGTTTTTCCAAAATTATCGCTTAAGTTGAAAATTCTCAAAAGTTTTATTTTATTTAATTTTTTTTAAATACATAAAAATGTGACGGGTGTAAAAGCAAAGGCTTTGACATTGGAGTTATTAACCTCCCCCCCCCCCCAACCGGTACCCCTTACGCCACACGAACAAGGATTAATTAATTAAAAAGTTGCGAGAGACTATTAAAACTTTCGAACCGAATCCTGCGTCGCAAAAAATACGCTGGGCTGGGGGGGGGAGAGTTTTACGGAGGGATTTCTTGCGAGATTCTATTTTCGGTAGTATGACGACAATCTTGTGACATCACGGTTACACATTTCAGCCATAAGGGTCGCTTCAGAGCTCGGGATCCCCAACACTTTAATCGCACCTTTTTTTTTAGTTTTTTCATATTAACTTGACTTCTTTTTTAAAAAGTGGTTACCTAGTTACCTAATTCTTACTTGAGCTTGATTTTTGATAACAAAAAGGTGTCAAGTATACTCACTTTATGAAATGGAAAGAAGAAATCTGATACCGCATTTTCTTGAATTCCCATTTTCATCCGTTCATAAATACTTTTATTTTTTGTGAACATAACCAAAGTTTCAGCTGCCGATTGAAGTAAACAACTTTTATTTGTCTAAAAAAATGGATGAAAGTGATGTGGGAGCACTGGAAACATGGAACTAAAGCTTAACAAAAATCGAAATCTTCAATAATAAATTTAAAGCGTAAAATTTTCCGAAAAAACTTTTTTTTCTGCGTTATGTTCTTTTGTTTATATTTTAGGTTAGGATAAACACGTTGAGAGGCGACATGATGTAAGTCATATCGTTGCATTCAAAAGCCTCAACGAATTAATGAGAAGGAAAATTTGACAATATTGGCTTTAGATTGTTCCTAGTTTGGAAAAAATTAAAAAAGAAGAAGCTAGAAGGTTATATCAGACATTCCAATGATTTTTTCAGGGAAGAACATTCCCAAACAATCCCAAAAAATAACGCAAATTTTCAGAACGTCGAAATGTTTACTTAGTAAAAAGCTTAAAAATAAAAGTTCTGCTGCAGTTGATGATACCCCGAATTTTTTGATCAAGCGCGTATTAATATTCATTATGAAGCCCTATATCTAGTAAATTTATCCTTTTTTGAAGGGAAATTTCCTTCAAGCCAAAAAATTGGAAATATTATTCCATTACATAAAAAAAGGTAGTAAAACAGATATTAATAATTAGATCAGTTTAAGTCACTATGGTTTCCTCGAAGTTTTTGAGTACGTATATTTGCAATTCCAAATCTATCGAACTCAAAAATGGTACAGGGAGCAAAAGGAAACGAAACTAACAAGTACAAGTGGGGAATAACAAGTGGGTAAATGAGTATATGTATTTGGGAGTACTAGTAATCAACAAATGTGAAGAGGACAAAATTCTAGTACCAGAGACAATGGTCCGACCAACTTGAACTGACAGTCCTGAGACATGGACCCTCAATCAAAAAAACCTACAGAAACTAAATAAACAGGAAAGGAATATATTAAGGCATATCTTTGGTGGGAATAATACAGAGCATGGCTGGGAGAGAAGGATGAATGAATCGAAAAATTTGTTCAAGCAAGGAGACTACAATGGCTAGTGCACCTCACTAGACCCAGAGGGGTGCAGGAAGCGTGGTGTACCAGAAGATGGAGAGAAGCCGTGAAGGAAAATTTGAGAGAGAGAGAGAGAGAGAGGAAAGGATTGTTAATTGGAGAAATATAGCAAGAGATAGAACTGAATGGATGAAAATTATATAGCTCTGGGCCTAAAGGGCCTGTCAAAAAGCTGATACAGCAACTACTTTTATTGTGCCTTGAAAACAATAAAATATCATCAGATAATCAGTTCGGTTTTCGAAGTGGGAGCAGTACCAGCAGTTACTTGAAGGGTACTGTTAATTCTATTAAGTGCGGCAAGTGTCCTATTGTTGTATTCTGTGATCCCAGCACAGCATTCGATTGTGTAGATCACGACATCATGTCATGGAAAATGTCTTGGTATTATCTTATAGAAAACAATAGATTAGCCTAATGTATAAAACAGATGGTGTATGCACTGAAATGAAGTCGAAGTCATCCATGGTAACAATGGGCGTCCCTCAGGGCTGTGTATTAGGACCAGTACTTTATGCGTGGCTCGGACGACTTCGAGAAAACAGCGTTCACAAAGTTTGCTGATGGCTTTACTATATCTATGACGAGTTTAATGATAATAAGTCATACCTTCCACTAAAAACATCTTTTATAAGATTCTCTCATAGTCAAAAGACACGTAAATACTGAAGAATTGCTATCAGTACATGATGTAAAGTTTCTTAGAATATTGATAGATAAAAACATGAATTTTAAAACTCATTACTCTTCGTTGGTATCAGATTTTTTGATTTTGTAACTGGACAATGGTCTCTATTTCCTGCGTTGGATCTAATTCTGATCGCTCTTTCTCGGATAAGAAAAATTTTTATTTAATCTATTGAGTTTCCCCACAGTATAACAGCATATGAAAAAATTGAACGAAAAAGAGCTCGAGACTAGATAATCCCTTCCGATTGGATTTTTCAATCGTCGTAACAAAAAGTTGACACTTGAGAGGCGCTTTACTAAATAAGCAATATGGTCCTTCCAAGAGAGCCTATCACCCAAGGCCACAACCAACAACTTCTCAGATCTTAAATTTGTTGAAAATACTAATAATGGAACCCTGTGGAACTCCGTGCATTAAATTTGTAAACTTGACATTTCATTACTGCGAAAAACTGTTTGCTTTCTATTAGGGTAATAAGTAGTTAAAGTGCTATGCTCACCCCCCTCAAAGCCCAAAACTATACCAGCGACTATACGTTATAGTGGTGGAACGCCCCTTTTAAATCCAAACTGGTATGGTAAGTTAATTTAGAGTACACATTTTGAATGTGTTTGAAATGTGTGTTTATGTGTTTTAAAATAAATCAGGTTTTTTTGTTCAACGGAATTTTTCACTGAGTGAATACAAAATCTAAAGACGATTTTAACCTCTTACCGAAAGAAATAAAAATGTTAGAGGAATATCTTGTGATTAATTGCCTGTAGTCAGTACAATGGCACTTTAGTTAGTCTTTGTTTATAAATTACTGTTTCTAGTCTTGGATTATGCGTCATTTCATTTTATTTTTTTACAATTTCTTATACAAACACATTTTTATTACATTTTGAAACAAATATAAAATAAATTTGGCTCTAGGATAAATCATTCTCTACAACGTGTTTAAACAGGCTTATAACTTTTAAACCATATTTAAGCACGTCTGCTTTGAAGCGTTTGAGAACGTTATATTAATCAGTCTCAACTATAAGGCACTTTAATAAAATATATCAGATTCTAAAGCCGAGTCGAGTAACAAAATTTATGTCGGGGAACAAACTATACGAACCTCGGGAAACATTGTTCTTTGGTTGTCCGTCGCACTCGATCACCGATCACCAACCTGGAGTTATCTATCGTTTCGCTCTCTTTATATAAACGCCAACCCCCCGGATCTTTCTCTCTCGTTGTTTCACTTGCGTAAAAAATAAATCAACAAACGCATTTGTATACGAGGCATATAGCGGAAAACGAACCCGCTTAGATTACCTAGATTTCTTGCAAATTTCTCGCGACGCCTATCGCGTTTACGATCCGACGCCAGTGGGCAAAAAATTCATAGTATTTCTGAAAGAAAAAATACTAATTACGTATTCTTCTTCTTCGCTTCGAGTTTTTGGCACTTTGCCTGTTTCCTCTATCTTCTTTTTCCTTTATTATTTTTAATTTATTATTATTCCATATTTTTTCTTTGTTTGTCTTCTGTCTGATAGCTTCGTGTAGATTCATAACGTTTTTCTACTGTGTCTTAGCTTGGCTCATACATGTCGATAAGTTGTCGACTTTGTATCGATAAAACCCGTTTTTTATATATATGTTGTTTAACAGCTTTTGATCGAAGTTCCTTATTAAGCAGTTTCGAAACAAATTTTGATACCATTTCTCTAACGATTTTTCAACACCATTTGTTTGACCTCTTCGACGCCTTCGTCAGTTATTGAGCGATGTTCGTCATCGGCGTCTTCTCGGCCGTTTTGGAAAAGCTTGCACCACTAAAAAACATTGTTTTTGCTCACCATATGCCGTTGTTGATATTTCAAGTGTTTCGCGGCGCTGCATTCCATTTTATACACACAACACAATACCCAAAAAAGTGTCGTATTCTCCGTGTTGTTCTTTGACTTGTATTTTTGATATTCTATCTAATTGTCGATCTTCCTTTTCTGAAACCCATTGTCACTTATTCGTGTCTTCGGGGTTACTTTTCTCTCGGCTTTCTTGGGTAACATTGCACGTTTTCCAGCATACTTCTTTTAAATGTATCCCAACACTATTTCTTCAATAGTGTTTCTAGTCATTTGTGACATTTTTTAAAAGATATGAAATGAAAAAGAAATGCTGTACTCGTTGAGGAACGCTCCATACAAAAAATACAATGAAGAAATATTTTTCATGTAAGGTAGAAAAAAGAACCAAGCCCGGTTATACATTCTTTCGAACTCATTTCGGAGTAAAAAATAGCCTAAAGGTTATAGGGTATGAACGCGTGAAGAAGATAAACGTACTCAACTGATGGATTCAATGTTATCCCTTCTTCATTTCTTCTCTTTTAAACGTTCAGAATTCAAAGATGCTAAGAGCAACGCTGTCCGATTTACTGCGAATTCATAACAACTCAGAATTTTGGAGGTTTTCGAATATAGGAAAATTTAGGAGTGTACCGGTGAAAGGTTACCAGAATGATAAACATCGTCGCGAAATCAGACAGCATTGTTGTTAGCAGTTTTAAATTATAAATCTATTCTTTCGAGCTTTGCAGTTGTGTGTCTATACGAAGCGTTGGAATGAATAAACTTTACAGAACAACAACGAAATTCGAAAAGGAAGACACATAACACTAGAAGGAAAATTAACGCATAGGAACCCATAAAAATTTCCTGGAATTATTTCGCAAGCAAAACTATAAAAAAATTGATTATTTGATGAGGCGTTTCGTGGTCTGAGAAAGTTTCCTTGTACGGATTCTAAAAGTAATTACACTTTTTTTTTATTGTAATTTTTGGCAACACAGCAAAGACGTTTCTGACATAGAGCGGATTCATATTTAGGAATTTCAAGTGATTGGAAAAAAAGTTAAATACAAAAAGTGTGTCACCTTACATTGTGCCAAGGCAGTAACTAACTTCGCTAGATTTTAAGTATTTGAATAACGATATAGTCCTGGCACACTAGAACACCCTGTATACATATAGCATGCATTTTGCACTCTTTGGATAAGTGTGATGTCTAGAACATACGAGGAGTTTCACCTAAAATTTACCGATAAAACCATCTCCGCTGAAAGCGCTATTTTTTTTTTCGTCTCGACGGTAACGTTATTACGTAGCAATTTTTCCCTGCGCGAGCAGCGGTGCGTTCACTCGGAAGTAGGAAACACTTATCCCCCGAGCAAATGCACTTTATCATCGGTCATGCGTGATAAAGACCGTATTGCCGGTTAGACGCCCATATCCGACCAATGAACGCCGATTATATATATATATATATATATATATATATATATATATATATATATATATATATATATATATATATATATATATATATATATATATATATATATATATATATATATAATTTAAACACTGGGTACGGAATCAACGAAATATAAAGTCAATGCGATTTTTTTCTTGACAGAAATGTTTTGGTTTCTCGTATTTCGTGTTCACCCTTTTCAATATCATCGAACGTAAATGGCAAAGTAAACGAAGTTGATAAAATCGATAAGGTTTCTTTATTTTATGAAAAGTAAACGTAAATAATAACGGAGAATTTCGTGGGGCGCTCCCCAACGTTCGAAGTATAACGTGCGCCTCCATATTATTCGATATTGCGGAATACGAAATAGTAACAATTTTCTAGAAAGATTAACCAAAATTGCTGATGAGTTTTGCTTCTGGCGACTACTGATACTGCATTGATAATATTACGCCAGTTATATTATCAATGGTTAGTTGAGATCCTTCTTTGGTACCGTGAACACACTAAATGACAAAAAAAAATCAAATTTGTAGATTATAATTTTTCCATTTAGTTGTCTTTCTTCTTCTTCCTCTTCTTAGAGGTGTGTTCTGCCTCAATCTTTTGGACGTATTCATACAAAAATCGAGTTGCTCACTATGTTCTACAATGAATGTCCATAGACATTAAATTTGCAAGGGCGCATAAACAATTTTTGACAATTTTGATCTCTTTATATGTTTTGAAGTAATGAATAATGACAAAGAATTGATGTTTCAACTATGCCAATATAAACATAACATAATTGTAATTATAATTCCATCTCACCTTAAAATTTAATGAATGAAAATTACTGCTGGAAAGTACGACAATTCGAATTTTTAATTAAAACATGAAAAGGAATGGCTGGCAATAAAATCTGGCTTTAGTCAAAAATTGTGACTTGTTTTTCAAAAATTGTGACTTATTTTTTACAAATTCTAATTAATTTTAAAGAAACTGACTTATTTTTCACAAATAATAACTTTTTTCCAAATAATGTTACCTGCTTATTATAATTTCTGACTTTTTTATTAGAAATTCTGGCTTATGTCAGGAATTCTGGATTATTTTCCAGAAATTCTGAATTATTTTGCAGAAATTCTTCACTATTTAGTAGAAATTATTACTTCTTTTTCAGAAATTCTAATTTGTTCCTCAGAAATTCCGACTTCCTTATCATCAATCCTGACTTAAATCAAAAATTTCGATTTATTTTGTAAAAATTTTGACTTGTTTATCAGAAGTTCTGGCTTAAATCATAAATTCTGTTTATTTTATTTTCCAGTAATTGTGACTTATCTTTCAAAAACTCTGACTTAATTAGCAGATGCCTTGTTTAGCAGAAATTGCGGATTGAGTAAAAACTTTAACTTTTTTTTCAAAAAATCTTATTTATTTTTCAGAAATTTTGACTTATTATTTATAAACTCTTATTGAGTAAAAATTCTATCTTGTTTATCAGAAATTCTGAAATCAGAAAGTCTGGTCTATTTTACAGAAATTACGACTTATTTTTCAAAAAAAGTTGAATTATTTATCGAAAATTCAGGTGTATTTTCTAGAACTTCTGAGTTATTTTTTAAAAATTGTCATTCATTTAGTAGAATTACTAAATTGTTTGTCAAACATTGTAACTTGTTTCGTTGAAACTCTAACTCATTTTTCACAAATTCTGAGTTATTTAGACTACAGCTATCAGTAATTCTGGCTTTAGTCAGAAATTCTGAGATATTCTCCAGAAATTGTGACCTATCAAGTAGAAATTATAACTTTATCAGAAATTTTGGTTTAAGTTAGAAATTGAGGACTTCATCTAAATTCGACTTATTTTTAAGAAATTCCCAGTTGCATATCAGAAATTCAGATTTGTCTCTCAGAAATTTCGGGTTATTTAGTAAACATTCTGACTTCTTCATCAGCAATTTTGGCTTAGGTTAGAAATTATCACTTATTTTCCAGAAATTTTGCCTATTTTCTCAAAAATTATGACTTATCAAGTAAAAATTATGATTGTATTTTGCTAAATTTAAACTAAAACCCGCGTTTTATTTGCAGTTGCCTTCCGTAGCCGTGAACTTCATATACGATCGAAGGTTTCCTGATCGATATTATACCGTCGACGTACTAGGGCAATGATAAAATTCGAAAACGGTGACCGAGAGATAGAGACGGATACTCGAACGAGAACGAAAGGCCCGTTGCGTCACTGCGAGCGCAACGAAAACAAAAAGCAATCGCGCGAGCTGTCCGCGACATAATAATAATTTAAACGATCACAAGCCCGCGTAATTTACACACTTAATTCCGAGGAAATGATCTAGATTGACGCCCGCGTAGACATGGAACCCGCGAAGCGGAAAACGAGCACGTGTTCCGCCTGCTAAACCGCTTTCGTTTTCAAGATGACCGCCGTCGCGACACCTTCGACACCGATGCGCACGCCACCGCGTCGCATATTTCGGTAAAAGTCGCTTCCGTGTGGCCATAACCTCGAAAACGGTGGCGCCATCTTGGGGAACTGATAAGAACTATAAGTTCAGATTTTTACAAAAATTATATATTTTCACATGACAATTATTTCGACAACACCGTGTCTTTATCAAATGTAATATTTACAAACTACCTGCTACTATGTATGACAATAAAACCTTAATTAAAGTTGTTGTGAGAATTTAAGTTGAATTTAAGTTTAATAATAATAATAATAAATTTAGTGTTAGGATCTACCTGTTTGCCCAATATAAATTTTAGGACATGATCCGCACTTCAACCTGTAGACACCTGATTTTTGAGATTTCGGACACTTCGTTTTATTGCTTTTTTAAATTTTTCCTATTGTGTTGTTAGTTCTGAAAGCTATTTTTAAACCACATTTTGACAAATGTTTTAAACCTTTTTCACTGGGTTCTCCTATGTATG